ATAAAAAGGATGTTTTGTTCTATATATTATAAAATTTTGATTAAAAATAATTACAGCTATAAGAAGTTTTATTAGTAGTATATTTTTATTTTCTATATAAATCTTATTGTATCACTAAAATCATATGACAAATGATCTACATACCCCTACCCTTAAGATTGGTTTAACTAATTCTAAAACATCTAAAGTAGTACAAATCTCTATCGACCTCAGGACTTTGTAATTAGATTTTTGACAATTTTAGGTCCATTAGTATTGTTTTATTGAGACAAATATTTTGTTAATTGTTTTATCAAAAATAGACTAATGGATCAAAAGTTATTCATAGTTAAATATTATTAGAATTTTTAATAATAAATTTTAAGAAATATTATATTTATAACACTGTATTACATATCACACTATATTCACATGATTTAGAGTAGTATATAAAAACTGGTTGATCGTCTATAAATAGTAAATAAAAATTTTTTTTTTCACTTTATTGCTTTACAAAGGTATTGAAGATGCTGGGCAGTTTTCACATTTAGAAGGTATTAGGTGCTTTTGCTAATTCCAAAGTATTGAGTTGCAATTCTTGTGTTTATAAAGGTGCAGATAGCTTTCTTAATCATGATCAAGACGTTGAATGGTTTTTTTTGATTCATAGTATCAATAACTGAATTTCTTTAATAGCTTTTTATGCTTTTAAAAAACTTCAGATGTTTTTTCACTTTACAAAGATATTTAGTGTTATTTTTTTTTTTGCTTCAATCAGGTCTTAAAAAGATGTTAATTGATTTTTTGTTTCAGAATGTATAACTAAATTTCTCTAATGGCTTTTACTGTTTTTACAAAAATTTCAGATGTCTTCTCAGTTTACGAAGTTGTTATATAGCTCTTTTTTTTGTTACAAGTGTCGAATATTTCTTTTTTTTGTTATAAGTATCGGGGTTTTTGTCATTTAATCTGAACTCAGGTAGCTTTGCATTGAAGTGTTTGGAAGATAATATTTAGTTGAACTTTTTGTTAATGAGATCTTGACTTTGTTTACAAATATAGCAAGGTTTCTTTTACTGTTACAAAGAGTGCAGGTAGCACTTTTTGTCTTTTGCTTTACAAAGGTGTTCATGGCTCTTTTTTTTGTTACAAGTGTCTGGTGGTTCTTTTTGCTATTACAAGTGCAGGTGGTTCTTGTCGCTTTAATCTGGTCCCAGATAGTTTTGCATTAAGTGCTTTGATAATAGTAACTAATTGAACTTCTTGTTAATAGGATCTTTTTGTATGAATATAGCAGGTTTCTTTCACTGTTACAAGGGTATCAGGTAGCACTTTTCATCTTATAAAGGTGCTAAGTAGCTTTTATGTCAAAGTTCTTTTTTTTTGCCTTTATAAAGGCATTAAATAGTTTTTTAATTAAGGTGCCAGGTAGTTTTTTTTTTTTTTTTGCCTTTATGAATGTGTAGTAAAATATTTTATTAAATTTTTTTATTGATTGATTTTGCTTTTTTTGTTTTTTAAAGATAGAACATTTTTTATAAAAGGCTAGTAGCTTTGTTACTTTAACTAAAATCTTGGGTAGCCTTTTTATACCTTTATAAAAGTATTGGTATAATTGAATCTTAAGTGATTTTTTTAATTAAGGTGTTTGGTGATTTTTTTATTTGAGGTGTTGGGTAGCTTTTATTGCAGTAATAGTAGTATGAACATTATAGTGTTTATATTCGTAAATTTAAGAACATTTCTGAATACTAATTTACTTGTATTGTATCAATTATTTCTTTTTCTCAGTCTTTTAATAGCCTTTTTGTTCTTTATTCAGGTTGTCTTATTTTCTGATTATTGCCTTTAATATTCCTCCTGTTTGATTTTGAATAATAATGGCTTATAGAACTTATCTCTGATTCAAGACAATCTATGGGGTATCAAATATTAGATTGGAACCTTTCTCTTCAAGAATTATTAGATTCTGTTTATAAATTAATAGAATCCTCTCTAGAAGTAATAGAATCCTCCTAAGAAGTAATAGACTTCTTTCAAGAAATAGTGAATTTACCTCAAAAATTAATGGACTCCTCTCAAGAGTCAGTAGAAATATTATATGATGAAACCCATAAGAGACAAAATTTGGTTGGAATTAATGGCCTATTGCCTCACATTAACAAAACAATTGTATTTTCTATTGGTGATACCTTTCCTAATTGGCCAATTGCAAAACATTATGTTTTCTAATATGGCTGACAAAAAGGATTTGTAGCAATTAAAATATGCAATAAAACTGATAATAATGGTCGTTTAATGAATTTGTATTATAAATATGAATTCGGTAGGGTGTATCAATCAAAAAAAACTAACAACCTGCAAACCAACATAATAAAGGTTCTAAGAAACTTGATTGTGATTGAAAAATTAATTTGTCGGCTGCAACTGGTGTAGTTTGTATTACTAGTTTTAATGATCACCATATTGAGCATCAATTTTCAATATTTTTATCTCTGTAAATCACCAGTTCACTGATGATTGTTGTGAAGAAATTCGTCATTTGGTAGTAAATAGTCGGTGTGACCTGACAACAATACAGTCTCTTTTATTTGCTAAATACCCTGATCAGCTTTTTTTAACACGAGATTTGGCTAATATTGTGGCTCAATTTTAACATAAATATTAGATGAAGGGAAGTGATGCATCACAGCTTTTAAAAAAGCTTTATAAATATAAAGAAAAGGACTCAAAGTGGTATATTGAATTCTTAATCGATCCTATTAGTAATCGACTTTGTGGAGTTTTCTGTGTGAACTCAGATCAGCAAGAAAGATAGATTCGGTTTTGTAATATAATAGTTCAGGATAACATAGCTCAAACAAATTACTATAATTTTCTCTTGTGCCTTTTTGTTTTAATTAATAATCATAATAAAACTCAAATTGCAGTACAAACTTTAATGTCTAATGAAACTATTGAATCTTTTCGTTGAGTTATTAGACAATTAAAAAAAGCAACTGGAATTCTACTAAGGATTTTAATAACAGATAAAGATCTCTCTATGAAATATGCTGTAGTTCACGATCTTCTGGATACAAAGCATCTGTTTTGTTTATACCATTTAAGTCAAAATATTTTAAAAAATCTTCGAAGTAAGCTTGGTGAACAGTATGAAGATTTTATTAAAGATTTTTATTTAGTACGCAATAGTTTGAGTGAAAGTATATTTAAATCATGATTTACAACCCTTTTGGATAAATATCTAATCGCATCCCAGTATTTACAAAAGTTATTGTTAAATAAAGAATCATGGGCATATGCTTATATGTTAAAAAGTTTTACTGGTGGATTGCAATCAACTCAAAGAATTGAAGGGCTGAATAATTTTATTAAAACTGCAATGAATAGTTCATTAACATTATTACAAGTAATGGAAGCAATATATCAATGCATTGAGTGTGAAAATCTCAATCAATATTTTAATTTGTAGACTTAGGATCAAATTAATTATAATAATAACATTGTTTTACAGTCTGTTTTTCCACAAATTGTTGAACAAATAAATAAATATTTAATGCCAAATTTGACATTTGAGCAACAAAAGCAGATAGTTTAATCGACTATATTATACATGCCACTGAAATAGATTTTTAAAAAACCCCTATTTCGTCTTCATTAGAGCAATTTGAAATTTTTTATATATAATAGCAAATCTAATTTAGATAGTTATGTTCCTTATAATTTCGTCTCTTCAAAAAAAGTGTCAAAAAATTTCGTCTT